TAAAAGTGAATAAATCAGATATGATTAGTGAAATATGCAAGCGAAGTTTAAAACAATAAAAAAATCACGATAAATCATTTTAATCGTAAAAAAAAAAATAATAATAACTATGCAAATAGCAAGATATTTTATTATGAGTATAAAATATTAATTTCATATGCATTTCATAATCAAAATTGAAATGATTTAACAAATAAATGAAAAACAATAAATAAAGCTCGCTTAATATAGATTAATTGAGTGACATTAAGTATGTAAGCAATTGGCCGTTGAACAATAAAAGCAAAGAAAAAAGAAAAAATCGATAACTCCAAAGTGGTGAACTGTCCCTTGCAGAGCCCAAGGCGTGTTGGCACATGTTGAGCGTACGATGGATGTGCTCAATTTGCAACAAATCGAGAATATGGAAATTGCACATATAATATGTACATAACATGAACTTTGCAAATGCAGAGTCGCAACGAATTGAACTGTATCATTTAAGATATTCAATTGACAGTATAAAAAAATTAAAATATAAATAAAAAAAAAAATAAAAAAAAAATAACAAAAGAAAAAAGAAATATAACAACAATTGTATGCAAAATAAAAAAACAGTTTTAATTAGAGAAAAATGAGAGTAAAAATTTTCGCTGTAACAAATGCAGGGTGCACCCAATACAAATTTATCAAAAAGAAAAAAAAATGTGTAATACAAGAAGCAAACAAAAATAGAACTTTTAAAAAACATTTAACCACATTTCTTCGCTGGGTACATGTACATATAAACGCCGAGGAATTTCAAACACCAAAAAATGGTTACAGCGCAATGCATGCGGCACTATTCGCAAATATGTTTGCACAAATGCGCATAAAAAAATAAAATCTAAAAAAAAAAAAAATGTACATCAAAAGGTGCGTCACAGTTGGCTTAACTTACAAATAGATTTTTTACTTATTTTAAAGTCAAAAGAAAAACCATGTATTATTATTGATAAAGCCGCAAATAGTTTTTGTATTATTCATACTTTTATATCGCTTTTATTTTTTTATTGACAACTTTAACAGTGTTTGTATATATTTTTGCTGTCATTTAACTGTTTACCTTTTTCAGTTAATTTTTTTTTTGTTCTCATATGTACTTTTCTTCGTATGTGATATGGATTTTGTGTAGCAGAAAAAGGCAATTCAAGTGGTAAAACGAGTATTTTCTTACAATACGTATATATAAACTAGTATAAAATCAAAAAAAAATAATAATAATAATAAAAATCACACACAATAAAATACATAAAATTGCAAACGTCAAACATTTGACGACCCCCACAACCATAAACAGTTTGCTACAAACACCCACACACACAGGCACAAAAACTAAAAAAAAAATTTAAAAAAAAAAATTAAAAAAAGGAAAAAATCAAGTGCTGACTGTGAGAAGATTGTCTATTGGGTACGATAGCGCTATGTTTAAGTGCAAAACTAAGAGAGCGCAATGATTGTAAACTTCTATGAATTTGATTAGAAATACATATATGTAAGTATGTATATATACCTATGTACGTATATGCATGCACTTGTATTGGCACAGCTTATCGCGGTTCAAAAGTATTGGGTGCGACACAGCGACAGTTTGCGATTTAATGGAATAGCAAAAATAAATATATGTACATATAAATATAATACATATGTATGTATGTACATTAGAAAATAAATATAAATATACATATGAATAAAAAAATATCAGCGACTTATATAAACATTGAGAAGTGCAAGTGCACTGCTTTTTATTTATAAAGAAGCTTAGAATAAGAATTAAGTATAATATAATATAACATATACAAGATAATAATAGAAAAGTGTTAGCAAGAAAATATATGTCGCAAAATGATAAAAAAAATATGTACTTGTAAAGCGCATACAAATACGTGCCGTCGTGCTATGAATTTTCGTTATTTTATAAATGTGAACTATCATTGAAATTAGATTTATCGATTATTCGATAATTTCCATTGTAACTGTAGCTGCATAGGAAATGTCAAGCAGGCTTTGGTCACATGTGGAAAATAAATGGCGTGTGTTGTTTCGCTTATTTATACACTTTTTATTTAATTTTACACGTTATTTTAAATCACCACCACAAAAAAAGGGGGGAAAAAAGAAAGAGAAAAGAAAGTGCAATTGAAAATATCTTTAATGAATCATAATTAATATTTAATGCATTTTCAAATCACAGTCAATCAACTAGTATATTAGTAGAATTTTAAAGCGACTTGCCCTACGCTCTAACGCGCTAGTCAATAACATAATAATAGATATTACTCTTGCAATAATATGAGTGACCGAGTGGCAGCAGCAAAAGCATTGTCTAACCAAGAGGCAACGGGGGCAAATGCTAATGTGAAAGGGGTGAAGATAATTATAAAAGCAGCCATGCGCCCTCCGCTCTACTGCTACGAGTACATTATTATTTTTGTTGTTGGGGTTTTGTTATTAGTGCTTTCATTTTATTTAATTTTTATTTTCATTTCTATTTTTTCAATTTCTTTTCATTTGCACGCTCGCAACGTAACAAGGGTAGGCATAGAGATTTGTGTGTGTGTGTCTATGTATGCTTGTGAATGTAATTAATTGGAAAATAAATTGGTCATAGAAAAATACGCGAACATGAAAGCAAGTGCAACGACAACAACGACGACAAAAGCAACAGAGGAATTCACTTGTGAGCGGCAGTGACATGCCTTTACACTTTGCTTAAATGGTTAAATGACAGGAAAATAAATAAATATATATATATAAGGTGATTACAATGGCAATAGAAAAAATATATAATAAAAAAAAACATTAAAGAAAAATAACAACAACAAAGTGTATAGTTTTGAAAGCGTTTGAATGGCAGCTACATAAATACAAACATATGCACGTATCGAACGAGCCAAATGGCAGGCCAATACATATAAGCGATAAACAGGCGAACGACCTGACCGTATACAGCCGACCGACCGACGCGTCCCATATATGCCGGTAAAATGCAGTGATAATGTACGAAAGTAGAGAAAGAAAATAAGGCAAAAAAAGCTCAACGCAATACAAAAAAAAAATTACAAATTAAAAATTAACGCAAAAACGAGTAATTGCCACCTAAGTAACGATGCTTTGAAAATACACAAAAGTGCCGATTGTTGTAAGTGGTAAAAGAAAATTAAATGAGCTGGAAATTGCTGCTGCTGTGCGCGCACATGGCTAATGGAGAAAGTATTATATATTTATATATTATCATTGCAACTTATATGCACTTGAATAAGTACATACATATGTATACAAATGTAAGTATGCGCTTTTATATATGTAGAATTTAGTTAAATTGCGCTTGAAGAACATCTTGATAATCTCAGCAGAATGTATTTGCTTTACATAAAGACAAAAATAAAAAGCAAAAAATTAAAAATGTATAAATTAAAAAAAAATAACGCGATAAGCATTTACTGAAATGTATTTGTACGTAACAAAAATAAAATAAATAAAAATAAAGGCATGTACATGTATATATACAATATGTGTATATATGTATGTATTTGTATAAGCTTAAAACAAAGGCAAGCAGGTTCAATGTCCTTGAACAGCAAAAACGCACCGCAACTGGAATCATCCCCATTAGCAGCTGACAAGGTGTGCAAATGTGCAAAATAAAAAAATAAATAAAAAATAAAAGAATACAAAAAATGGACCGAAGGTGAAATGTGTTGCAACAGGAAAGGTAGCGTACGTGCGAAAACAACAAATGAGCTAAATAAATAAATAAAAAAAAAAATAAGTAAAACATAATAAGCAACATAAGCGACGAAACTGCATGCTCGTGCCACAGAAAGTTGATTTGTGCTTTACAATGGATTATTGGTTATGTTGGTGTATACAAATATGTGAAATCATTTGTTTAGCTTTGCTTTAAAGAAGAAGAGTTAAAAAAAATCATTTTAAATTGACAATTATAATTCTCAACGCCAAACTTCGTTTCAATAAGATTCAGCCGAAGAAAAATAGTAACTAAATGTCGATACAAAAAAAAAATCGATAAAACTATTTGACAGCTGTTAATCGTAATTTGCTAACGACATATCAATATCAAATTATTTAGCGAAATACTTTTCGTTGTAATTTTAGTTACTTACAAATAAAACTTTTGTAAACTTTTACAAAAATACACACAATTTACTACATAACATATCCTTGTGACCATCATTACCTTGGCTGCTGGTTGTTACACTGGCAGAGTAGTAGGTAGGTATCCATATGTAGTACTGACATTGTGCTCGATTACTTATACATATGTAGACAGCAGTTTGCCGATGACTCATTTTATATGTCTGGCAAAAAAAATCATACAAACACACAGTCATATATACACATTTACAGCTACATACATACATATGTATGTACAAATACCTACTATGCGGGGCAAAAAAGCAGCAGTCAGTACAACAACCCGACTGGCAGCCAACCAACCAACTCGTCCGCCCAAGCAAGTCAGGCTTCTCACTTGCATTTGTTGCTCCCCTTTTCAATGACGACAACAACAACAACTAAAATAACTACACTGCCGTTGGCAATGGCGCTGTTGTAGTATTGCTGTTGATGACGCTGAATAGAATGTGCTATTGCTGTATGTTGGCTACCAAGTAAGTTAGCACGCGCATGTCGCGTCTGAGTATATACAGTCTGTTGAAATAACTGGCAACCCACTCGTGTTAACCAACAAATAAGCAGGCTAACAGCCAACTTGTCACAGCTACGCTTCCTTTATGCCTTTGCTTTTGTTGCATAAATATACTACATAAAGGCCCATAAATGTGTGTATGTATGTTACTAAACTTTGCTTTCATTTCATTTATATCATTTTATTATGTTATGTTATATTGCGCTGTGTTAATTTGACATTTGTCAAAGTTCTTAAGACAATACATGAACTAATAAAAAAGTTTTCCATTTTTTTTTTTTTTTTTTGGAAATTTTTCATTATTACTCACCTTTCTCATTCGGACACACGTTCAACTGCTCATCGTCACGTGAGACTTGTGTGATTATTGATGTTGCATCCATTTAAGCATAAATTTTTTACTTCACTCTCGGTAGGCAAATATAATGTTTTGCCTTCCGCCGTCGTCGATTTTTCCTGTTTGTTCTTGCTTTAAGATAACAGCAACAGAAATTGGCAGCAAATAAAATTTCGTTATAACAAAAAAAAAATACAGAAATTAAAATGAAAATCGTAGATATGTTTAACACACTCGTTACTTATTAAGTAGTATTAATATTTATTACAATTTTATTATTTACGCTCTTTCAACTTCGGTTCACTTTATCGTTTTTACTGCTCAGCGCGTGGCGTCGTTATAAAATTTTATCGTTTTTTTTATGTTAAAAAGCTTTTAAATTTACATCATATTAATGTAATAAAATTTTAATTTCCTTTTTTTCTTTTTTTATTTTTTGCGAAAAAATCACTATAAAAGAAATCGTCGTCTTTGTCCTGTGACCACTCAAAAATACTGTTGATTGTATAAAATTATGCTTGAGTAAATTTTTAATATTTATTTATGTATTTTAAAACTTATAGGAACCACAGCAAAACTGGAGAACACAAAGAAAACCTGAAAATAAATGAATATAATGGCATTATTAGTTTTGTAAGTGCGTATGGAATAAATACAATTACTTAAATTACAATACAGAAATCATAATATTGTATGAATGAATATTCAACAGAAAAATCTCTATAAATAATTTGTTTACACTCAAAGCAAAACCACAAATCATTAACAGAAAAATTCAATTGTTTATTATAAATAATTGGCAAGTTCGCTCTAAGCGCGAGTTTATAATCAAATCTGCTATTCAAGTAGTTGGCAACGCAACTGTCACTTCGTTTGGCTAACGTAATTTTTTATGAATCTTTATAAAAGGAAACAAGTGTCAGCTTCTATTACTTATTTGGTGATTTATGTATTCCGTAGAAATTTATTCCTTTAATTAAAAGCTTTGTCTTTATTTCAGCATTTTGATTTGTGTATTCTTAAACTCATATATCTTTTCTGCTGCATAGAAAATTGCGCATCTTGTCACTAGCCAGCACTAGTGCGTTCTAGACAAGAGATTTCTAATACATGCTATTTATCGCCCAACAACTCTATCAAGCAACAAAATTAGTGCCACAGGAATTCCGTTTGAGCAATTGCTTACAGAAGTGGATATTAACTAATCTACAGCGTTGCCGCCGCAAACTTCGAACATTCTTACGTGAGGAATTACAACTGCCGCCAAATAGAATCGCCCAAAATTTTAAAAGATGCAGTTGGCCAATTGGTCAATTTTACTTCAATAACTCTACGTTATCTCCATTATAGAGTAAACATGACACCTTGAGCATTACGTCATTCACCCACCATCTAAGCCTGGCAGCACATCAGCATGGAGGGATTGACGACCACTCAGAATATTTATTGCATCAATCTAAGGAAGGAAGGATGTTATACGAAACTCAATCATCTACTACAGCATACGAAAAGGTCGAGCTAACCTTTGGTGCAACTAAGGTATGGATAATGTGGTAGACTTAGCTTCTATTTATACATAAAGCAATGAGTCCCCGCAAGATACTATGTGATGGGTGCAGGCGACCATATGCAGGCCCAACAAAGTCGACAACCTCAACCGTTTCGGGCGTTTTTCGTTGTTGTTGCCGTAGGCTAGATCAGTCTAAGTCATCGAAGAGGGGAAAGGAGAGTTAGATGACCGTGCAGCATAGTTTACGAATCATTTTCCATTTGTCGGTGATAAGTGGGTCTGGTATATGGAACACTCTGGGCGTGGAACTGCTGGGTAGCCCCGCACGACTTTACTATCATCTCGAATTTAGGACTAAGTTTACGTTCTGTTATATGGCCAATGCATTAAGTTACACAAGGATATAAGCAAACTTATAAGCCTCCAGCCCTTAGGAACTTAACTTTCGAGGGGCATTTCCTCAAATCATTATCCTTTCAGTGGTCATCAAAAATACGCGAGCTCCTGAAAAACTGCCACTAATAGGTTGTTGGCGAACAACATCACATAAATATTTATAAAATTAGCTTATAGATGCCCTAAGTATATACATACATAAATACATATGTACATGTATGCATAAGTATTGCAAAATCGCAGAAGGCAAGACAGTTCGTCAAAAATGCCTATCCAACCAGATGAAATGTAAAATATAGCACCGCTGCCGCCGCTAAGTGGTCGGCACTTGCGCAGCACTTGTGACTGAGCTACAGCGCATCGGCGCAGACTATGGCCGACGTCACACGAAGTCACCCAGAAAATCAACGACGTTGAATACGATGCGAACAGCGACTGCAGCACACTCTAGATATAGCAGCAGTAACTCGTTTTGGATTTCAAAAAAATTTCAACGTGAAATACGAATGCATGGAGTAAGAAGAATGCAGAAAGATTGTAGGAAAAAAGGCAATACAAATGAAATAACAAAATAAAAATGACAAAAAGGGGTTAAGCAGCAATGAATGAGCTAAAAATACGTACATATGAATGTGCTACATCTGAAGCAGTGTATAAGTGAAATTCTGGTATATATTGTACAATACATAATTATTTATGTTTTATATGGATATGCTCCCATACTATTTGTTTATAACGAGATTAGTGAAAATTAACAAAAATAAATTATTAGACTGCAAATAAGTGAATTCTTTTTATAATTTTCTTTTCGCCGCTTTTAGTTTTATCTTTTCATTTACCCTTATAACCAAAAGCGAAAAAAGAAACGTATTTTCTTGCACTCAAGTCACTTTGATTGCCTTCGTCAGCGACTTGGCAACCACTTCACCCGATTCACTTGACTTCTTCAGCACAGCGCGAACAAAGCAGAATGCCACAGCATTGCATAGCATTGCTTTTCTATGTTTATGATTTGCATATAAAAAAGGCGGTGCGATGCGATGCGTGCTCATTTGCTGTAAAATGAAATTGTTATGGGCTAAGAGAAGTAAGTATATACATAAGTATGTGACTCTGCCTGATTGCACTAAAAGTTAATACAAATGTAAATATATATACATATGCACATAAGTATGCACACAAACCGCACTACACACGACAGCGACCATTTTGCTCTGTTTGTGCAGTTTCGGCGACGATAACGGCGACTACAGCAACAGCGACGTCAACGACAGTAACGACTGAAGGGCTCTCAGATAATTTAAGCTTGTATCTATACATATTATGTATTTTTTTTGCTACTTCCCTTTGTGGTTTTCACTCAACCGGTGTAATACTAATAAAAACTATTTGCTCATTTATCTGTTCATACACTAATCGAGGTTGCTCTTATTTCTTGCGGTTATATTTTAAGCAGTTTGCTGCTGCTATACGTACGTACATATGTATGTATGCATGTAGTGCTGCGGTTTGCTCAGCAGTATGAAATTGTATATAACACTATAAATGTGCCCGCATGTATGTATGCATGTACAAAAATACTAGGTACTTTTTTATTTATTTTATAAAATTTATAAAGTAAAATAATTTAAAAAAATTTACTCAAATTACTTTGCATATTCGTATTCGTTTTGTATGTACATATGTATGTATAAATGTTTATGTAGGTATTTAATAGCAAAAATATGCGCCATAAAAAGCAAATAGAAGAGAAACAAAGTAAACCGCAGACATGTGCGTCGACGCTGCAGCTCCGTTGTTATACTGTTTATTTATAAATTTTGTGTTTGCTATACCCCCCTCTAACCACTAATAACCCCAATGTACTGAATATGGCACTTGCTATGCGCACACCTTACACACAAATGCATTTTTCTGTTTTTTTTTTGTCTTTCTTTGGTGGTGGCTTTTTAATGTCTTGCAGAAGATTTTTGAATTCGGTGGTGAATGACGTTACTATCAGACGAAATGCGAGTTCGATGACGTTTATATTTGCAGTGACGTTTATACGTGAATCCATGGGAAATTATTATTATAAATAAAATTTAAATGCAAATATTTACAAATTTAAATGCATGCACGTATAACATCATTACTAAATTTACATATATCTATGCTCAAGGTTTGCTTCACACAGCATACATATGTAGGTATGTATATTCCCATTTCCCATTAGACATTTTCTAATTCGCTACGATTTCTTATTATTATATTTGTGCTTAATCTTTCTTTGTGCAATTTTCCTCGCACCCATTGGCGTTAGTTTCCCTAAAGCGAACACACATAAAATCGTGTAATAAAAGCATTCATAATCAAACACATTTAATATTTTCCCCTTCTATTTTGATTTGAATTTTTTGTTCCGTCGTAATTTTCATTTCTTTATCTGCTTTTGTTGCTGCTTCGTCTTTTATCTCATCTCCATTACCCACACTGCCGCCGTCAACGTCTTTACTTTTGTCTCCGCTTTCACGTAATGTCTACGTCTGCTTCTACTCATATACATATATATTTATGTACATATTTACACTTGTAATGTTTTTGCCTGTGCTCAATGGCCGCCGCCTCTGCTTCCGTCGCTGTTTGCGTTAGCATTCACTGACTACTTTTGGCTACCAGCCACTTTTAAGGTGTGCGCAACAGTTCGGTAAGCGGAACGCATACAAATGTAAAAGTTCAAACACTCTCGCACGCACACACAGACACGCATTCCTACTATTGCAATACACAAAGGAATTTTTTTGGATGAAGACGACGATTGAATGAAGAACACAACACACATTCAAGCACAGCCTGAATAGACCAATAAGTAAACGTGAAATATATATAAGGAAGACTTTTAAAAATATTTACACTTCACTTTATGCGTTTTCCACACTTAAATCGCGTCTTTGCCGGTCCCTTAAAATTCGTTTAATTTCGACACTTCTTGTTTTTTCGTCTGTTTTATGATAATCGCACTCGTTTCGTTTGAAATTTTTTATATAGTAGAAAAAAATAAAAACAAAAAATTTCCGCCATATGCAATCGTGCGCGTTTAAACCGTATATACACCTTTTCTCCTTGTAGTCTAAAAGAAACTGATGAAATGACGAATAATTTATGAAAATAGAAAATAGAAGGAACGAGGAACAGTGTGGACAAAATCTTTCAGAAATTAAAAGGCAAGGCATAATCAAAAACACTATTGCCAACTAAGGTAAACAAAACTTGGCACTACGCAAATACCACAGCGTAGTCAAAATGACGCTAAAATCAATTGGGAAAATTTAAATTTTTAATAGAAGCTAGTAATCACTAATTTGTTGCGTTTCTATGTTTTATGTAATGTATATGTAAATAATTACAGTTTTCTAATCATTTCAAATATAATATAGCTTCTAAAATAAAGAAAATCTGAATAACATTAAACTATCCTGATCATCTGGTTCTGCCGCTATTTGCATTTCCATTGCATTCCTTTCTTTTTGTCGCTTTGACAACTCGTTTAGTTTGTTATTTTCAGCCACATGCAGTTAGTTTAGTTTTTTCTTGGTATGTAAATATAGTAAATCAATGATTTATATGTTAAAAAGAAAACAATTTCTTACACTCTATGAAGCAGCGAGCTGAACGGTGGATTGCATACAAAGAAACTATATTTGGGTGCAGTTAAATTCAACAGCGGTGCGAAAATCTGCCTTGTACGCAAAGCTGGAGCAGTAAATTGGAATTATATAATTATGTTTCTCATTAATACTTTAATAAAATAATTTTGTTTTCTAGATAGCTGACTCAAATTCATATTGTTTAATTATTGACCGATTAACATAGAATTAAGCAATTATGTTACGGACAACAACTGGCGTCTTATCACGCCTTACTATCAATGAAACGAAAACTACCGGCTCTGCTTTTGCTTTGGAATTTGTACGGTGGCGTAGGAAGCCTCGTTGGTTGCCAGTGGCAAAAAGTAAATTATTTCGTGTGCCCGAACGCAAGCAACAAAATGCAGATGAAAAAGCTGAATTAATGCGTCTGCATAATAATTACAAGTATTTATATTTGTTATGCATACACGCTAAGACATCGACTTAACTTTCGACTTTTTATAGATTACAGATGCGCTCTTTAAGACAATATTTGCGTGAAGAAGTATTGCGTTTGAATGTAACAACAACAGCAGATCACATTGTACTAACACCTGAACAAGAGGAAGCGGAATTCCAACGTTGTATGCAAGAAAATGAAGCGTGGAATCAAAAAATTGCCGTCGAACGGAACGAACGCTTGCAAAGGGAGCTCGAAGAGAAAGCAGTTGAAATTCGTCAACGTCTAGAGGCGGCACGCATACGTGAAGAAGAACGTTTGGAGCGTGCTGATGAAGTTGTTAGGCGTGAAATAGAGTTGTCCAAGTCATTTATAACCCGCGATAAGCTTGATGCAGCGATTGAGCAAGCTTTAGCCAATCCAGTTGATTATAACTTTTCATTGGATTTAAAAGGCAATATTTATCGTGGCCGTAACACAGTGCCTGGTGGTAAAGGTACGCCAACTCTTGGTGGCGCTAATGAAATCGAGGTGCAACAAACACTCAAAGCCAGCAATTAGCTGGTTAGTGCTTTTACCAAAAATATAACTATGTATGTGCAAAAAATAAAGTGTTAAATTTAACATTCACATGTTATTTAAATTAAATGGTTAATATTTCGTTTTTATAAATTTATTTGAAAATTTACACATTTCATTCAAAATCGATTACATATACAACAAAATTAATATGTACTATATAGGAAATGTTGTTGGAGTTGCACGCCACTACAAAATTATTGATTTGATTTCTTCACTAGCACAAGTAAAACAATATTTTAAGTTCAATCAAAATATTCTTATATGTTTTTTAAACTAAGCTTGGCAACGGCAATCCATTATATATGTATACCTTGTCTAATAATTTCTTTCGTTCTTTTTTTTTAATTTATACAGTATATTACAAAAATAGGATACATTTTGTATACATTTCTAACGCCTTTGCTAAGCTAATTTCACAAATTATGCTTATTCCGGTGAGCATTTAATACGTTCTAGTATAACTTATAAGTAGTTGCTAAACAAAAAATATATAACTAATTTTAAGCAAAAGCAACTAAAACGTTTGCAATGCTATGCAGGTTTTGAACGCTGCCGTCGATCCTCCTGTTCCATTAAATGTTCCCAGTCGGGTGTGGCCGTGAGTTTGGCTTGTATGGGTCCCAGATTAATCATGTTACCGCTACGCTCTTCTCGATTTGTATTGATCGACATGAGTTCCTGCGGAATAAGATAAAATAAATGTTTTACATAAAAAAAAGAAAAATTATATAAATATATTGACTTACTTGCAGGAAACCCGTTTCCATGCCCATATTCAAATCGAAATATGTATTACCGAATACTAGTTTTACTTTTCCCGATTTATATCGTAGCAATTTACCAATTTTACCCTCTTCCATTTCTTTGAGCGATAAACTTTTCGTTGGTGGTTTAGTAGCAGGTGAATTTTGTGAAGTGGACGGTGTATCCGCAACTGAGTTCTAAAGGCAAATAATTTATATTTAAAGAACATTTGTTTAATAGCAGATTTAGCTAAGCACCTTTTCATGTAGTGTTTTCCCAGCAACTTCTTCCACATCGTCTTCACATGGTAAAGCGTCTGGCAGCTAAAGTTAATAAATTGTAAATTATTATTCCACTTAATATATAGCATTTTATTGTTGTACAACTAACCTGTAATAGTAATAGCTGTGATTGTGGCAGGTCTAGCAGTTGATCAACGGAAACTGGATATCGCGACAAGGCACTATTTGTGCGCTGCTGCTGCTCTTTGACAGCCAGCGATTGCATTCTTTGTGCAATTAAGACAGCGGATTCTGCGGAAGTAGAAAAATAACGGTAAATTTTTTTGTAATAAAAAAACAAAATTTAAAATATAATGTACGATGAGCCGGTTTAAATATGAGTGCATGAATTTAAATATTTACATATTTTTTTTTTAACTCGCCCACTCACCAGGATCTTCAACATTTTCAGCAGCTTCACCATTCATGTCAACATCTACTTTCTCAAGCTTAACTTCAACTTTAGAGGGTTTCCACTTAACTATCGGGCACAAGTGAAAGTGTATTATTGTTTCGAGTATGCATGTTATATGTGTGAGGGGGAGTGAAAAAAGGGCAACAAAAACAAAAATCAAATAAAAAGTAGTACTAGTTAGAGTTCTTGGTATTTCAATGATGGAGTAGTGTCATATGGGAACCCATAGTTGCTCAAGCAGTAGACTTTATACTTAAGCGCACTATGAACGAAGTAATTGTTGTTGCATTACACTTTTGAAATTGAATGTGCCCGCATTTATTCTAATTTTCGTGTAAAATCGTGTATACACATATGCATAACACAACTGTTGTACACTTTTGGTTTCAACAAAAAACAATTTCACAATTCTCTTTAACTTACCCTCATTCAATTTGACCGGTATCTGCTCCAAATCAGTCTTTTCATCTCCGAAATCATCTTCATCTGTATCACCAAGTAATTCACGTACATGCTCTTCATCAGCTTTCAAATCGAATTTTTTTAAATTTTCCTGTTTTATAATTGTTGGCCGACGCATTTGTGAAGGTGCATCATCGGCAGAACGACCACCGAAACCGCCGCCACTTGAACTAGTTTTTCGTATATTTATAGCACCGGCACCTTCTGAGAATACACCAGTGGTTTGTATTAGTGCTGAATTAGTGCCTCCAGCAACACCACCACGTCCACCACGTGCCCCTGTGCCGGCACCACGTCCACCTCGCGCACCGCGCCCCCCGCCGCGACCACCACGCGCTGTAGTGTCTTTGGATGTTTTTACATTGCTAAAATAAACAAATAAACAAATTTATATAAGTCTTTCGCATAAGGATTTGTTTTGATTTTATAGAACTCACGTGTTCTTGTTGCGCACCACATTGAGGTTGGGCGTGAAAACCTTTTTCGCTGCATTAGCGCCGGCGCTACCACCACGTCCACCTAATGTTAAATCGCGTGCCGGCTTTAGGGAAGACAATTTGTGTAGCACTGGAGTAGTTGCCGCAGAGCTGCCGTTCATGATGATTACTTCACCACTCGCACCACTAATAATGATCACAGTTTTGTCGTTGCCGACGTCTCTTTGTCTATGACTTGCAATCAAGAGAGAACTCTTGTTTTCGCATCAACTGAATTTGTTTCGCTAACGATTGTTTATTAAATGTTTGTTTATAAAAGACTATGATGCACATTCTCATTCTCCGCAGACATGTGGCAAATAAATAGTTCCAGATATGTACTGTTTGTATAGTTGTTTTTGCTGTTCGGCTTGCCTCATTCATGGAGTATCAGATTTGTTGTCAATGCTTCTTCTTGTGCAGCACACCGCTCACAATAGATGCAATTTTCGTGCTGCCAGAAATTCTTTCTGTGCATATCGATAATGCATTATACTATCGAAATTTTTTATATAGAATTTAATAATTTTTGGTGAATATACATACACCGTAATCCTTTTCCAATATGCGAGAAAAAAATTTATGGAAGAAAACACTTAAAATACTCATACTTGCCTTGCTAGAACATAACTTTGGTCGTTTGTATGTGTATCGATAACGATAACACCAAAAAAGAATTTTTATTAACATGTTTTTGTTAAGTTAACCACGCTGATTTACTAAAATCTCTCTGTTCGCCCAAGAGATTGCTAAATAAAAGTTCTAAAATTTATTGTTCAGCTTCTCAATTGTAAACAAATGGTTTACTATCTCTTTTGTAGGAACGCATTATATTCTTCTATAAAGCGAAGCAAACGGGCTTTACTCTCCGCTGAACAGCGATGTTAGCCGCCACTCTTATATACCTAACATTCTATTCTAATTTCATCGAAAATTAACACCCGAGCTTTAAGTGTATTATCGGTCTCTCTCTTTAATCTAACAAGCGTATTTGTATTTTTACTTTTTTTTATAAATAACCTTACATAAAATTTTCTTTTAATAGCCTGAACAATTGGCTATCAATAAAATAACAGTAATAAACGGACAAACAAGATGTTGGCTCCCAAGGAATTTTCTTATTTTTCGATTTTTTTTTTTTTTTCCAAATTATGAGCATAAAATATGAGAATAAATTTGTTTTGATTCATATTTTTATTAATCTACTTTATCAGTAATATGTGTGAATGTGGTTTCACATTTTGGTGGCGTTCGGCTTCGATACTTAGCCATCGAGGATCTCAAACGTAGTCCACCCCCAGGCACAGCAGGTTTTGGGTTTTCCGGTACGCTCACAGTTGTGAGAGGTTTATCCGTAATTTGTTTAATTTCCTCCTTAAAACGTACACCTTCCCGTTTGGTTTCCTCATCATCTGTCAGTGGTTTATAGCAACGCCATATAATGAACTTAAAGAAGTCTATATGCTTGACATGACCACAAAACTCATCTCGAAACTGCGGATATTTTGGAAAGACATCATGTTGCAACATCGCCTTATACAATATGGTACGTTGTTGTTCACGAAACAATCGACGCTTATGTTCCTCAAGTCGTATTTTCCAATTATTGGCACTCCAAAGCTGGGCCAATGCTATGCGTATACGTGGTCGTAAGTAATATTCGATAGCACTACGTGGAAAAAGAAGAGTGAGGTTAGTAAAGGTATTTGCTTAAAATATGACCAACAATTACTCACTCCCGCAAGTGTTGTTGTGTCTTTTTATAAGTAAAGTCTTCAATGGGCTCCACGAACTTGTGTATCTCGGCTGTATTGCATAGGCGTTGTGGTATCTTTACATATACGCTGAAATAGATGGATATAGAAGAAGGTTAGAAACGCTCATCGCTTCTACGGCATCCCCATTGTCCAATTCAATCGGTGTAACTTTGCGAATCTGGACTTCAACATTCCGAAAACCTCTATATGCATTTGTTCGTAAGTAGACCCGTTCAGAAGCAAAATAGCTGGCTAGTCGTTGTTGTCTAACATGATTCCGAAGTAAAGATGGATCGTTGTTGTTGTAACCGCAAAATTATTCCCCAAAGTACTTTTTGGGACATGTTGCGGGAGTGACAGTCCTTGGCCGGATAAAAATCCGGGTCGTTCCGGTATAAAGACCCGACTGTTGCGGGAATTATTCGATTTTAGTCGCCTCTTACGACAAGTATGCCTTACCGCGGGTAAATTCTTGAGCCCCTAACCCGCAGGGGGCGTCGATAGATTGTCGTGTCCAGCGGTTCTGTCATATAATGGTTCACATATGGATAACGGTAGTCACTAGTCCAGTCTGGAGGCCAATCAAACAGTCTTTGCCATATAAAGACATTCTTTTCGGGGCGGTGGAGGACATTAACATGCCGAAACGGGCTACTTATAGGGTGGACGACTGTAGATTGAGTTCTTTTGAGGGAAAATTTGAAGGCTTTGCCTTATCGATAACTTCTGGTTAGCAATTTTTAAGTCAACTTTTGGTCACTACATGCCCTAATTATTGAGCCGCTCCTGTATTTCAATGAATAATCAAACCAAACTTACGTTTGATCGAGGCCAACGAGTGCTTAACTGTCATCACGCACAGAGCTTTGAAAGCTTCGAGAAAGTACAGTTCGCGAAAGGAAATTACAAAAGAGTGCATACTGGAAGCACAAACGTTTGCAGTAAACTTCCACACTGCATATTTTGACTTACCAAGGCTCACATTTGATACATTCGAGCAAATGATTTAACCAATATATTATTATTAACATCAATAATAATAAATATTAGAAAGCAAAAAGCAAGGGAGAGAAATAAGACATGGCCGTCGCGACAGTTAATTACACCTCCGGCCTATACCAAAAATTGCTGAAACATATAGTTGGTGAAGCGGCAGTACTGCAGAATGTCGTAGTGATACCCCAAAGACCCCGCAGTATCTATTGTAGTACTATGTATCGTCTTCATTTAAGGTATACCCTGGAAAATGAAAGTGAAGAATCTGAAGAGGAAGTTGAACACCAAGAAGCTGGGGCTAAAAACCGAGTTATAAAAATTTTTGTTAAAGATGTCCCATCCGCTTTTTTTTCTATTTCCAAAGAGCACATCTTATATGGAGAAATTTTACCCAGGATTAATCAAATCTTACATTATTGTGGAACAACGCGGATATCACCAAAGTAAGTGTAGAAAATATACGATGTACTCGATGAAACCTTCGGTATTTAGGGATAGCTTTTTTGTCTCAGAAAAGAAAAACAGTATTTTTGTTATTATGCACTTTTATAAAAAAAAATTAAAAGAATAAAAAAACATGAAATAAAATTAAATAATAATATAAAATTTATAAAATAAAATAAAATAAAATAAAATAAAATAAAATAAAATAAAATAAAATAAAATAAAATAAAATAAAATAAAATAAAATAAAAAAAAAACAAGTAAAATATATAAATAAAATCAGCACAGCTGACATTTACTGTATATTTTCTACAGCCGATAGTGTGTTTATTGTTGTTGTTATCTGTGTTTGGTTGTACTTGGTAAAAAATCAACGTGTAACGGAGTATTTGGGCTTTAGGCGATTTTCGGCCAAGCTTTTCCTTTAACTTTTGGTATTTGTTTCTAAATTTTTCCAAAAAAATAAAAAGAATTATAATTTGCTTCAGCCACATTTGAACTGCTGTTGGAGCTTTTTATTTGATTTCAGTTGGATATATGTACAAAAGAACACACACGGACATGGAAGCACTTTGTATACTTATGAATTTTAATATTTTCAGGTTATATTACGCCCTAACTCAAGGCGGATCAACACACATGCTGGAAGACCTCTCAGCTATTGACTATGTGACGCGACCACGTACTATTGGTTATAATGAAGACGAAGCACGTTTTATTATCAAGCGTTTAGGCGAGTTTCATGGGGCATCTTATTTCTATACGTCATCGGTAAATATTATGAAAAAAAAAACTCAAAAAGAAAAAAAACTCATAAATAATTGTTTACAAATTTTAATAAAAAAAAAAACAATTTTTTCTTTAATTTCTCAAAAGCATTCCGAAATCATCGGAAAGTTGCAACGCATATATCAAGGCAGTTTGGAGTCCAATAACATTTTCCTGGAGGAAAAATTGGTATATAATATAGAATATGCTAGTGATATTGTTGGCTCTTGGCCTGGCTATGAATGCATTGCAATGAAAATGCGTAGAAATACGCGTGAAACGTTTCGTAATAAATTTTTACCATTATTTGATGTAGGCGCTGCTAAATTCAGTGTAATTACGCATGGTGATATGTGGGTAGAAAATGTACTGTTGAAGTACGATGAGGATGATGGCTTACCGGAGGATGCTAAATTTGTAAGTTACATTGCATGATTTTATAATTAATTGATGTTAATTTAACTTAACTTTTTTGCACCATCTCTCTGTCTCTCTCTCGCTTCCCACAGGTGGATTATCGTAATTGCAGTTATAGCAGTCCCGCTTTCGACTTACATAATTTTCTTATAACCAGCCTACAATTACCTGTACTTATGAATCATACTGCTTCACTGATTGAAGATTATTATTCGTCATTCTATTCAGTTTTACTTAGTATACACTATCCTCACGATAGAATACCAACATTCGATTGCGTTTTGTCGGAACTACGCCGCACCGAATATTATAGTTACTATTTACTTATGTATCCATTCGCTGAAGCTATGTTAAGCGAGGATTTAGCGTATGAAAAATCGTCTTCCCTTAATAATGTAGATAGTGATCTGTTGGAGCGTTGCCGAAAAAATATCTATAGCAATCCACGTGTTTTGGAAACGTACAAATATATATTGAAGACTTTTGAACAGAATCATTTACTAGACGAATAGAGAGAAATATAGTGTATATGTGTATATGCATGTATTGTATATGTACCTACAAGTGTAAATAGGTATAAGTTAATTAATCAAAATCAAATTTATCAAAAGTATTGTTTAAGTATATAGTTTATATGTACTGTTGTGTATATGAAAATGTCTGTGGAGGTCTTCCAGTTTTTGTTTAGCAGAAATTCAAATTCAACTTTTTTATATAGATTTGACAAGCAGCAATGTACATATTTATATTAATAATTTTTTTCTTTTATTGATTTGTGTTGTCTGGAGTTTATATTAAAGTTACGATTTTTTAATTTCTAATATTCTAGATTTAAAAAAAATATGTATCAATAGTTATTATATTAATTCCATATTTTAAAAATTGTTTTATTGACATTTTTTTAAGAAAATTATATATGTAGTATGTAGTATGTATGTTTTCTTTTTTTATAATAAAGATGAGCATGGAAGTTGTATGACTTTGAAATTTCTATTTATAAGGTCAGTTGCTTTACTGTTCTCAGCTCGTGTAGTCTTTAAACGTTTGGAGTAAATTCAATTTTGAACTAAAAAAAAATCTTGGCCAATTATTGCAGTTATTGGAAATCCAAATTTCTTTTCTATTATGTTGGCTTAATCTATAATAATAAAATATATATATATTTTTTTATTTTTACTAACTCGTTTTAATTTTTTTTAAATTATTTTATTTTGATTTTATTTACACTTCTTTTATTTTAATTTCATTTAAATTGATTTTATTTTATATGAAATTAAATAATTAATATTTTGCTTGCAAATTTGTTTTATTTTTAAAATCTTTTTGATTTTATGTAAAATTAATTTATAAATGCGAAATCCGAATGCGAAATGCCAAAATTTTCGATAAAATTCTGATTTTTATATGAAAAACTTTTTTTTTTTTAATTATCTTAATATTTGGACTGTTATAATATATTGTATTTGACGCTTTTATTTTTTTTGTAAAATCTATTTTCTTTGCTAAAAAGTTCATATTTTAATTCTTTTTTCAAGTTAGCAAAACCACTAAATGTTCCAAAAAGTTAACTTTTAAGCTGAAAAACTTTTTGTCCACTTATTAGTCATTAAGAAAAACTAGAAAATTATTTTTTATAATTTTTTTTTATCTATTTCTTACTCTTAAATTTTAATACTTGAAACTATTTCTTGGCCATATAATTCTCTTTAAATTTTTCTAACCTAGTGAAATAAGCAAATGCTCCAAAAAGTTTACATTTAAACTGAACAATAAATTGCCTACTTATTATTATCTAAAAACATTTTTTACTAATTTTTAATCCAACCCTTTTATTGTATTCCTAAAAACTACTTTGTTTACCATAAATTTCTATTTCAATTTTTTTTACATAATAAAGTGACTAAATATTCCAAAAACTTTACTTTTTAATTGAAAAAACTTACTTATTATTTTGTTAAATAAATTTAATCATTATTAATTATTTTTTTTATACTATTTTTTTACTCATATATATATATTTTAATAAAATATTGTTGTTTTTTAATTTTTCTAAGTCATTAAAAGCTCAAAAAAGTGCACTCTTGAACTGAAAACTTTCTAGTCCACTTATTAAACATTAAAAAAAGCACTAAAATAATTTTTTTGCTTCTTTTTTTTATCTTAAATCAATTTTTTACTCTCATATTTTAAATATTTTAATACTAAGAAATAATTTTTTCGCCTAAAGTTCCTTTTAATTTTACCAATGAAGCCACTAAATTTTCCAAAAAGTTTACTTTTTCATTAAAAAGTCTCACTTATTATTATTATTAAAAAGCTCATTCATTATTAATTATTTTCTAAAATATATATTTTTACTTATATATATATATATATATTTTAATACTAAAAACCATTTTCTTCGCCAAGAAATTCTTTATTCTGAGTCAATGTTCAAAAAAGTCCACTTTTGAAGCGAAAATTTACTTGTCTACTTATTAAATATTTTTATAAAAAAAAATTTTAAATTTTTTTCTCTAGTTTTTTCATTTAATCAAATTCTTTCTCTATTATTTTTTAAAATTATAAATATATATTTTATATGTGTCTAATCTTGTCAAGTCTTTAAAGTTTCAAAAAGTTGACTTTTTAATGCAAAAATCTTACCGTTTATTTTTATTAAAAAACTCAGTCATTATTAATTATTTTCCTAAGTCTACTTTTTACTCTTAATTTTTAGTTCTAAAATAATTTTATTTGCCCTAGACTTGTCAAGCCTCCAATGTTTTAAAAAATTTTGATTTTCATATCAAAAATTTCGTTCTCACTTCTATTGTGCTTGCCCGCTTAAAGAACAACAAAGTGGGTGTAATGACTTACCGTAGGCTGAGAACTGGCAAGGTGCATGTATCAGCTTCTTCGCAGAATATGGTGAGACGAAAGCAGCATGGGGAAAAGAATCGATACAAATCACCTTTTTGAGGCCTTTTAAGCTGCCTTCGACGGCACAGTCCCAGAAGCTAACTGACGCTGGACAATGCCAGAAGCGCAGTCGGCCGAAACAGGAAGGACCTGTCCGAACTGTTCGGCATTAAACGAGGTTTCACACACGGTGACTCTTTATCGTGTGATTTATACAATTTGATGATTGAGCGAAATAACAAGAGCTGAAGAATTAAATAGACAAGCTATTATCTTTTACAAGAGTGACCTTAACAATCGCGCCGTTAGATTATCTTTCTTCTTCTTTAGATAGTGAATTGAGGACAATATGAAATTTCTCATGTTGATGTTGTCGTTCATCACTTCCATGTTATGGTGCGTAGAAGGCATAGAAGATGCCGACAATCTATGGTTCGGTTTTGGGAGTCTTCATGAGAAAAGCTTTGCCGGTGGAATAATAAGTTGTACGAGCTAAACAGTGGCATTGAGCTGAATTAGAAGAATGAAAAAGGTCAAAACAAAAGGAAGACGGACCAACGCTCCGTTGGAAGTATCAGGTGGAAGAACAAGAAGATATCATATAACCAAAAAAATGAGTATATGGTTTGAGTACTGGTTCGACCAAAACATCCAAAATAAATTTTTTCTACTTCCGATCGCAACTCGGCAGGGAATGTCAAACCCTACGAGTGTATTTCTAACACATTAAAATCCAGTTGGAAAAATATCAAGATGCAAACAATATATATGTATATGTATATATTCTAGTTGATCTGGTTATATATTAAAATTCTTGAGACATTCGACTGAGAATGGCATATGCAAATGACATTAGATCTGAGCCCATTTTAAAATATAGTGAAATTTCCCTTCATAGGCACGTCTAACAAGGTACCTCTTTTTCAAGTAACTTCAGCTCTGATAAATGGGAGCCTCTACTGACTGGACAAAAAAACTTGGTCCCGTTATTGCGCGCTTATGAGAAGTTTCACTATATATATATAAATATATTTGTTGAATTTATAATTGACTTCAAACCCTACGATTTCTTTGTCAATAACAGTCAAAAGTGCAGTTAACAAAAACATACATACTTATGTAATATAATATTTCGCCACAAAAACAATTACAATAAAAAAAAAATCTCAAGAAGGGCGTATAGATGAACTGAAAAGAAATCATTTTAGTTGCCGTTTGGCTTTCCAAAACGTTAGTGGTCATTGTATTTTGTTTTATAACGTGTAACGGTATATTATCAAAAAAAAAAAAAAAAAAAAACCTAAAAAATGAATCCGAGCTTGGAAGAGCAAATGGATTATGAACACTTAAAAGTCCAGCCTAAACAACCACCTAAATATATTAACGAATATTTTATACAACAAACGCTTGAAGTCTACTACAGATGCAATGTAGTTTTAAGGAAATGTCGCTTCTATTGCGCCACAAGGCCAGGCGAAACGTACAGCAGTGAAATTTATAGAGTTCTTGTGCTCTTCACTTTATATAATCGTCGCAAGAACGGTATTCTATGCAAGCCATCAACACATGAAATGTCACTAATTGTGAAGGATGTAAAAATGAGTTTCAAGAGAAAAGAGGGCTCCAATGAGTTTATGATGCATAAATATATATTATCTAGATTAATGGGTAAATTGATGGGAATTTATCCTGACGAATATTCTATGGAAGTAGTTAACGATCATGAAAGAGTATGCAAAGTGTCTGCAGAGTAAGTAAAAAAAAGAAAATATATATAAAAATGTACAGTGGTCGGACTTCGCTGCCCCTACCCGCAGCAAACGGTACGGCGCAGATTAGTACTGTGCTGTTGTTGGAATTGCAGTATTATCTACTAAACATTTTTCCTAACACGTAAATCTATTGCCAAATATGCAACAATTTCTACTGAGAAAATAATAAAAACTTTTTTTAATATTTAATAAAAAAACTAAACAAAAAAAAGTTATTACAAAAGTAAATAGTATAACAATAATAATAATATAAAAATAAATTGAATATTTTTTATTAAAAAAAATAAATTATTACAGAAATAAGAAAAAAAATAAATAGTAAATAAACAAAAATATGAAATAAATTAAGTAATTAAAAAAATATAACAAAAATTAGAAAATATATTAATATTTAGATACATAAAAATACTCAAAACTAAATTTAAATTAAATTATATTTAAATTAAATTGGAAACCTTTATCGCTTAAGCAAAACTTTTATTATCCATTCGAAACAAATTTTTCAGCTTCGTTATGAGTTTCACTTTCAACACTTCATTTTGATACCTCGTTTAAAATGAATTTCCCGAGGAAATGTATTCCAATAGACAATAAATACATACGTATATTAATCATATATACTCTTTTATTTTTTCCAACGATTTTTTTAATAAATAAAAAAGTTCAAAAGAATTAATAAAAAAGTAAATAAAAATAAAAAATCAAACTAAAAGAAATAAAAGAGAATAATTTAAATAAAATTTAAGTAGATTTAAATTTGAAACTTTTTTTCGTACAAGCAAAACTTTTTTTTTAAGATTTGTTCAAAAAAATTTTTTCAGTGTTATTTAGAGTTTCGTTTAACAAGAATTTCACGCGAAAAATTTTCCATTACGAACAAATGTACATATATGCATTTATTTTGTGGTTATATTGTAAATATACACTTATTTAAATTTTTTTGCATTTTTTAATTTAGTTTTTTTTTTTTTTTTTTTTTTTTAAAGTTTCTGCTAGGAAGTGACCTCAAAATGAGACACTTTTTTCGACTTCGGTGAAAAAATTTATTTTCAATAGGATAAGCAATGCATTATATACATAAACATATATTACATAAAAGGTGCTTTGAAGACGATTTTCTGCCAACCTCCAACTCTCCGTATGAGAAGTCATTAAACCTGTTAGCGCTTTTTTAGGTTATTTGTTTTTTTTTTGTTTTTTTTGTTCAAGTTTTCTTTGTAGTATCCTTTAAAGCTTAAGAATGTTTAAAATAGTTCTACTAAAACAAAATAAAAATTGCAAAGTAATGATTTGAATACCGGGTGTGCCAAATGGTTGAACGAAGCTTTATATTTTTCTCCTAGCAGCTTGCGTACGACTAGTTGCAGAGATTTAGTGGGTTTGCCTAAATTAAATTCATAAACATTTTTTTTATGCAAATGGATACTGATTTTTGTTTTTAATTTTTGAAAAAAATCTCCTTTCTTTCTTTTAATAATCTTTTTACTTTACTTAGGAGTAATTTTATGGATAATTTTTTTAAATTATTAATTTAGTAATTACAATGCATTTTATATCGTTTCTAAAAAAAAAAAATAAAAAAAAATAATCATCATAAAATTCAATTATATTAGAAAATAAACACAATTTTTTTTTCGTATTATTCAGTTTATTTACCCCGTTAAAAGTAGTAATAATTATAGCCAGTTCCTGCTTATGTACATATTATATTTGTATAAATTTTTTGGGCATAATTTCATGACGAATTGTATAAAATTCCGTAATTTTGACTCATTTTATATTCATTGTAAAAAAAAAATAATTATATTTGAAAATAAAAAAAGCGTATAAATTTTTTTTTCATTTTGCTCACCCTGTTACAAGTGTTTATGGTTCTCAACACTTCCTATGCTTGCTATAGCGCATATTTTAATAATTATATATGTACATAGATTTATTTGCTTTGTCTACATTTTCTTTACTCAAATCCACTCTAATCAATTAATCACTTTCAGTTGCTTATTATGTTTTCGTGAAAAATATGAGGTATATGTTCTAGAAGATCTGACCAGAATGAGCTTTTGCCAACCAAATCGTTTCGATGGACTAGACTTAATTGAATCACAATATGTTATGAAAAAATTAGCGCACATACATGCCGCATCTATGGTGTACTTATGGCAGGTTGGTATATGCATATACATACTAACTAAACTAATTTATTAATTTACATAAAGCATCCAAGAGCGGCAGGTATATTTCTACCATCACCACTTGCTGATGGCATTGCTCCATCAAGTTATCTGGGTGTGTCCACATTCGAAGGTATGCGCTATGCTATTGAAATGGTTAAACGTTGGCCAGGCTTTCGAGATATCGCCGAAAGGATGCGTTCTACAATGGAACAGTTTAATAGACGCTTAACTGAGGTTATGGCACATAAAAGGTGTGCTTTCAAAGTACTGGTGCATGGTGAACCCTGGGCGAAGAATATATTTATGAAATATGCACAAAGGGGTTCGGATTTATCGCCACGGGATGCTACATTTGTAAGTAGAGCAAATATGTATATACACGGTGAGTCCCAAAAATAGCCGAACTTTATATTTAAATCATACAACATACAGCGACATCTATTGAAAATTTGCAACATTAAAAAGATACATTCATTTTATTTTATATCCAAAAAGTTCGGTTATTTTTGGGACACACCGTGTATGTATATATACATTTAAAAACAATTTTTTTTTTGACCTATTTTAAATACACTAAGTTAATATATATATTACATTATCTGGAAAAAATAGGTTGACTTTCAAATGACCTTCATTGGCAGCTGCGGCTATGACCTAAATTACTTTCTTCAAACTAGCGTTGACTTCAATGTCTTGGTACACGATCGCAAAACACTAATTGAATGGTATCATAAACAATTGACAAGAACGTTAATTAAATTAAACTATCCCATCGAAAAAATACCAACTATGACAATGATATTACATGAATTGTGGCATTTTGAATTCATTGGTTATTACGCATTGTTGGTACAACTACCAATTGCATGTATGGATGAAGATACTACAACTGATTTTAGACTGAAATGTATACTCAATAAATCTGAACGGAAAAAATTTTTCGATATTATTTATTCCTATGAACGTGTTCAAGTCATGTTATATTATGGTCTGCGGCGTTTCGCGGTGATGGGTCTGATATAGATGCGGCAATAAACAAAAAGCATGTTAATTACAGTGCAATGTATGGAAAATGCATGACGAATTTTTATATACCTACTTCAAGTGATTTATGTACTATCGTCCGCCCTCTTAATTTTACATATATGTGTATGTTAATTAAATTATTGTGCTGTGAACAATAGTTGATACGCTTAGCTTAAGAATTCATTAGTGGAATAATTGTCGTGGTTTATATATTAAGTATAAATCAATAAGTAAATCTGATTACTTTATTACTAATACAATGACTAGTAATTAATGACAATACATCCATTTTTTTAACTAAAATATTTTAATATTTTACTATACAAAATTTTGACTTAACCTTTGACCCTAAAATATGTATGTACGCTCATTTTCGGCAACTTTATATTATTACTATTAAAATTATTTTTATTCCACGTTCTGAAAGCTAATTACACTCCACTACTTATTTTAATAAACTATTCCATACTATGTTTATATGTTTATTTCAGTATAATCAACATAATTTTTTAATACACTTCTATGTTGTACAATGTCAAAAAAAGCTAAATTAAGTATGTAACACCTTCTTTTATGCATGTCAATAAATGCACTTTTGTAAGTGCAAAATCACCAATTCACAAGAATATATAGAGTCAAAAATTGATTTGGTCCATAAAGTTGTGAGTCATTGCGTTTTCTACTTATTTAACTCGGTATATCTCTCAAGGTGAGTATTTTCTTTGACGAGAAAAATGCACTTGTGTATGTATGTGCTTAATGAATTCGTAAATCAATTGACTCCTTCATTACTCCCTTTACTACAAAACGATCAACTTAAGAGTGGTTAATTCGAAAACAAAATAGTTGAGTTACCCACATATTGCTGCTCCAGCACTCGCTCATTTGTGGCGCAACACTGTGGGAATTTGCGTTGACCCTAGGCTAGCCGTCAGATAGTCCTTAAGGTCTCTCGTACTGGTCTTTTATGACTTTTCAACCCATGTTTTCTTTTTTTTTTTGCACATGTCAGCACAATGGTACTGCTCCTTTCCTTCGCCAAATATCGGTAAGAGGATAGTCAGAATGAGACAAAAACTTTCACATTTTTATTTTCAGCTCAAAGCTCCACTTGCATGGCGTATAAGGCCTATTTAAAGATAAGATGAAGTTCATGTTTCTTAAGAAATACAATATATATTTACTCATCAATTGGAATTTTTTCCAAACCTCATACCACAAAAACCCAAGTATAACTTCGCGGAATTATTTCGTATTAACCAGACAGGACAGTATTCTGTGGTAAGCACACCAACTAGCATTGTGAGTTGATAATCGAAGAAAACTGTGAACAAAACTTTGGCATTCGATTGAGCTTGGGAAGCTTTTTTTTTGTATATATCGGAACTTCAAAACATCGGGCTGAGCTCGATCTAAATTCACTTCAGCGTCACGTCCACTATTTAGCAGAGTCGGTAACCATGGATCGATTTCACATCACGTTTACTCTAGTGGACAATACGCATACTCAGAGACGCCGTACGCTGCGCACCGTAATTGCTGCTGTTGCGTGCGAAGAGTAATGAAGAAAAATACCCGTATAAGTTCATACGCCATTGCGCGCAACACTTTGAACTGCGCTCATCCACTTTATGAAAGGTTTTGGGGAAGAATCTTCATTGGTGGGTTTTGGGTTTCTGAGCTATTATTGAGACGCTATTAAATCCCAAAAAAGTCACTGTTTGGTGCGAAGGGAATCACTACGGTCTATATTTCTTCAAAACCGTTGCTCAGGCAGAGCCACATAATTGTAAGCCATACATCCATATCGGCTTTATGACAGAATTATATAGAAGGATGTTGACGAGTTGAGTTGCTTTATCCATGTCCATATATCCTTCTTTATATACAGGGTTTTCCAATTATTATTTTGATATTCCAAGAAAACTGAAAGTTTTTGAGATAAATGATCGGCTGTTTATTTCAGTGTAAAGAGGAAGATATGCCAAATGATAATAGAAATCAATATCAGTAAAATGGTCGCCATGGCTACGCTTACACTTCTCCTTTTTATGAAATTTTCCATCAACAAATCGCAAAGCGGCTGCAATATGCCCTCAATAGCTTTACGAATTCCATGTTTAAGAATTTGATTCGACATTGGAGGTGTTCAATCACTAGATCTCGGTGACTAATTGTGATCACCCCTTCGAGAAATAGCACGGTTCGGAAAATATTCTCTTAGAAGATCGACGATTCTATTGCTTATGTGGCACGTAACGTCATTTCGTTGAAAGTAAACTTTGTCCAGATCAATGCCATCCCACCCTGGTCATAAAAAGTCATTAATTATCAACAATAAATCTCGGATTTCCCTGAGTCCCACATGCGACAGTTTTGCTTTTTGACGTAGACATCGAGGTGGAGATATGCTTTATCAGTCAAAATGATTTTTCGATCAAATCCTGAATAATTTTCCTGCCTCTTAAGTATCCAATTAGTAAAGATTCGACGTTGTTGATGAGCACTTGATTTCTTATGTTAACTAAACTCCATAAGCCTTATCCGAAATAAAGTTTGTGGAATGTCCAATTCGAAAGAATGATGAGGAATGGACAAACTTGGATTTAACTCAACCCTCTTTGGGTTAAACCAGCAATATAATCAGTTTATTCTCCACATCATTAACTTGTTCCAACAGCTCCATTTTTAAACCAATTTCTCTATTATGGTCTGGCAAGGTTCTTCACGACGACCGAAAAATGTCTTAATTGTTCGAACCGCCTCTGCCCGGTTTTCACCGTTTTTGTAGAGAATTTTAATAATTTCAAAGCGTTGTCGAAACGTTTATCGTTCCAATTTTATTACAACGAAAAGTAGAGTGAAACAAAACCGGGAGGGAGGGCCTAAATTATATGAAATTTCAAAAATAAATAAATAACAGAAAATATGGATAAATTTAAAGTCACATTTTAGAAGCGTAATTTATTGCAAATAAATAAATGAAATAATAAAATTAAGTTGGCACGGAATAGTTATATATAGGATTAGTTATATATAATTGGCGCTTTGTAATTGAGAGGGCGATTTTTCGGCCAAGCTCCTCCACAGATTTGTGGTTTTGCGTCTTGATGTTTTCCAACAAATGAAGGGACCTACAGTTTATACTAAGCCGTCTCCGAACGACTGATGGTTTTTTACCAGGAGCTTTTATTTCATGTCAGAAATACACTCGGAAGGCTTGACATTGCTTGCCGAGGGGCGACCGGAATTAGAAAATTTAACTTAATTTTATATTATGATTATTTTTCTATAACTTTTTGCATATTAGTACGACACCTGGATATGAACTTAAGCCTACCGAATGGCATAATATTTATATATATTTATACTGGATATTATTCGAGATGATTATGTATTGAAATCATAATAGTAATCGCTTCAATTATTAATACCGCTTATCACTACAAACTCAAGTAGATAATTTCCTTACAAACAATTTATAGCTTTCGATGTACGAGTAAAATGAGTTAAATCAGTTTCGGAGCTTTTGAATTTCTAGTTACATTCTCAAATGCATTCAATGGAAAATAAAGTCAGCAGCATGGAAATATTAAGCTAACATATGTACTTTTATAAAATCACACACAAATATTGTTCAATTTCACAATCACATGCAAATACAAAGAAACTTGGGGAATAATAAATAAAAAAGCTCACTGGCAAGCTTTTCAACGAAGCACATTTCGCTTGGAACGAGTGTTGGAAATGTTTCAAATCAGTTGTAAAGTCACAGCGCTTTTAAACGGTAACACCTGCGACAAACCGCGCGTACAACACTTGCATGTGGAACTAAAATAAAAACAAAGTTGAAAAAAAAAAAACAAATAAAAAAACTTTTTAATAAACAAATTTAACCAACATCTAGTTAATCATTTAAAAGCCGTTAGAGAAAATGTGCACAAAAGAAGCAACGTCAGCGACGCAACCGCCGGCCTATCTCAACGCCGATTACATTAAGCATGCACTGGAAAGCCACTTAATTGGCGCGCATGCTAACAACAGCAATAACAACGGCAGCAACATAATAGATATATTGGAATGCGAATTTAAACGTGCAACGGCAGATGGTGAAAACTTTTGTAGCGTCATCTATCGAGTGTATGTAAAATATCAGTTGCATAACGCAAGCGCAGAAAATTCAAATGAAAAGCACGAAATAACGGTTATAGTGAAGGATGTATTAAAAGAGGTGGCGGATTTGGGTTCAAATGAGTTGGCAATGTATAAGCATGTGCTGCCGGAAATGCAGAGAATTTTACAGCAAACTGCGAATACGGCGGTCAATGGAGATACCGTTACACTTACAAAACTATATTCCAAGTGAGTACTTGAAAAATACTATTATCATAGATAATCGTAATAATGTTCATTTATAAATTAAATAATTTCTATGCTACTTCAAGCTGTTACTTTTGCGAGCATGATGAACGTGAAATCTACTTTTTAGAGGATCTAAATGCTGTGGGCTATCGTAGTGTTAATCGTTATCTCGGTTTGGATTTGGAGGAGACGAAAGTGGTGCTGAAAAAATTAGCCGAATTTCATGCTAGCTCTATGAAATATATAGCAGAGGTTGGTGTTCAATTTCACTTCCCAGTTAGACAGGATTGAGATAGAGAAGTCTCTGCCGCACAGTTGAAGTACTTTTGACAACTCCAGGCTGTATAATAGTTTACTGCTTAGAGTTGACTTAAGTACTTTAAGTGTATGCGAAAGGCATCTTTGCCTCTTCAGCGTAACTGGCTCCACTTCCAAGTTAAGAGCTTTTTTTGACCTCGAATTCAGTAGCTAATTTGAAGTATTAATTATTCACTAACTTTAATCCTTACAGTTCCCAACTGAGGCGGCTTCTTTACTTCCCGCAACTTTCGACCAAGGCTTCGGCGATGATTTCACGAAAAGCATTGCAGTGGGTGGTATTACTACAGCGTCCAAAATTGTTGAACAATGGGAAGATTTCGAAAATATTGCTGAGAAAATGCGTTCAACCATCGTCAAATTCGAGGAATGTGCCAAACGTATAATGCGACCGGAGCGTTGCCGCTTCAAAGTGATTACGCACGGTGATCTATGGGCGAATAATATACTTATGAAGTACGATGTGGTAGAAGGCAAGACAGTGCCACTGGATGCGGTGTTTGTAAGTACATTTAAGATATAAATAATAATAAATTATATAAATACTTTTTATGCATGGAGTTAAGTAAATTTGGCTTCCCACAGGTGGACTTTCAAATGGACTTTGTTGGCAGTTGTGGTTATGATCTAAATTTTTTCCTCAACACAAGCGTTCAATTGGAGGTTTTGAAGTTACATCGCTATGAGTTGCTGCGTTATTATTACACACAGTTAAAGGGCACCCTGAGGAAGTTGGGCTTTGAAGCTTCCACCATACCCAGCTGGGATGCGGTGATGGCAGAAGTGCGTGACTTGGAATTTACAAGTTATTATGCAATGGTTTGCGAACTGCCGTTGTGCTGTGTGGATCGTGACGGTGCACAGGGTTTAACTTTGAATAGTTTAACTAATCCGGAGGAAAGAGAAAAGGTGCACAAAAAGATTTTTAGCAATAAACGTGTATTGGAAACTTTGCGCTATGGTTTGGATCGTTTAGATGAACTGAGTGTGCTAGATTTATGTTAAAATTTAAAAAGAAATTTGGAAAAATTTAGTAAAAATAATAACAGAAGAAAACCTAACCCGCGACTATATATTGTGGAATTTCTTTTCCTGTGCCTAATTTGTGTATCAGTAAGCAGAGAACCTATGAACAGGAAAAAATTTCAGCCTTACAGATGAGTTCATAATTTTGAGATTCCACTCGTGAGGAAAATGCTTACACCTCGATATAACTATATACTATGCTAACCGTAAAGCCATGTACTAAGAAGTCTTAAGTAATCCCGCAGCTATGGGTAAGCAGTCTTAGTCAAATTATGCGGAGTTCATGGTAACGAGCCGCTTTCGAATAGCCATATCTCCTAAGGCGTTCCTTAGTTAGAAGCTTGTTTTAGTAATTCACTGCCGGTTGAGGAACATGCATCAAAAGCCCAAAGATTTACTTTCTGTTATCGTGCTTGTATGAAAAATCGGGCGATTTCTACCTCGAAAAAATTTCCAAGTCTTAGCATGCTCAGATGCAGGAAATATATTTTTAGTGTCTACCTCGCATCCGGTGTAGTAATCTACTTTCAAATATTTAACAACAATCTAATATAATAATTTTAACAGTATTCTTCCACTTACTTGGAGAGTAACACCAGTGGAAAGGTTTCATTTATTGGCGGCACACGTTCGCGTTTCAAAGGAAAGCGTGGAAATTTTTTCATATCATTATCAAACCAGGGATACTCGTTTGTCATTAACTCATCGATGTTCTTAAGTTTTCTCAGCTCTGTAAAGGTATTGCCAGCAGAAAAATTATACTCCAACGGTGGTGGTAGATTGCAAAGAAAGCGATAACCTAGTAGGAAAATACATAAAAAAAAATTAAATAAATATAAAATAAAATAATTTAATAGCTAATTTATGTAATAAAATTTTATTCGTTACCAACCCGTTACATGACAGTGCTCATTTTGATGCTCCAAAAAATAAAATTCACTCGATTTAGGTTTTTGATAATTTTTAAAATTCGATATGCGATCGATAAAATATTGAAAAAGGTCGGTGATATTTTTCTGATAGTCAAAGCGTATGTCCAGTTTATCGCTGTAAGACATTTTTAAATTGCAAAATCATATTAACTAATAGCAATAAAAATATTATTTATAAAATTAAATTAGTTTAATTAATATTTTTATTGAAACTATAATTATACTTTAAGTAATTGTTTTTTTTTTTAGTTTTTTTTTTAGTTTTTTTTGCTAACCCTACATTGCGTTACTCAACACACATCCTAAGCTTTGCTGCAATTTTCCAGTTGATAAAACATTTTCATTTGCATAATAGTCATAATCATAAACGCATACATGCATACACAAGTTGTATGTGTCTGTGAATATATGCATAATAATGATAATAATGCAATGAAGGCAATGACGCAACGAATCGCAACAGCACAATCAGGTCCTACATTGCGCTCATCATGCAGTCTCGCAATCACCCACTTACACACTACTCTCACTCCCATTCATACGGCAACACTAATCATAAATGCAAAGTACACATCACTAGTATTATCGACAACGCAGCACATTCTCTTGACTGTGCTTGGCTGTCATATCACATTTATGTACGAGTACACGTATGTGAGGCGCGCACGTTTCGGATCTGCAACTGTCAGAAAGTTATTAGAAGGAGCTGCTTGCTGTGTGCCATAAGTATTTATTATATTAGAAGTGAAGGTAGAGCGACGCCAATGTCATTGCAATGATACTTAACGAGTGAACGGGTTTGAGTAGTTAGCGCTGTGAGAGAGTGAGTGAGTGGATTAAGTTTGTATAATAAAAAAGAGAAGTTCAAGTGATAATGAAGCTTTGCCGTTTCTAGTTGGTTAGAGCTGCGTCAACTTGCTCAACGACTCGTATGGAAAAATCTTAAAGGCTTTTATGCATTGCGAAAGTACCTCTTGGTATGTGTGTTTTTGTTTTTGTTGACTGTTATCTACTCATTTGCACGCAATTTTGTGGCAAAAGAAATCTCTTGAGTTGCCTATTAATGTTCAACAAGGCGAATGGAACACAGAAGGATTTGTGTTTGGGAGAAGTTAGACTGCGTTCACTTTGAAGGCGTAATTGCTCGCCAGGTAACAACGAATACAGCAGAAGAAAGTTCAAACACCTGACATAATCAAAATTTGAGTTAAGAAGCGCATAAATCCGGCTTCTTTGTGCAACAATTACGGCTGCGTTTGAACAGGCATTTTAATAGAAATTTATTTAGTTCTCGAATTTTTAGTGCCACCAATCACTTATTAAAAAATAAATTCAGAGATGCCACATATGATCACCTGATCAATATATACAAACAAGGTGCTGCCATACTTCAATTCAACTAACCAAAAGCTTATTGAAAATCACAAAAATGAGAAATTGATAAAAAAATAAAAATTATTTTCACTAAAATGAAACAGTTGAGTGTAGCACGAGACGATAGAGAAATAAAGCAAGACCGCAAAAATCATAACAAACTCACCGTACTTTGCCATTGTCCACCTCATAACGTTGCAGTTCCATAGTGAGTTCACACGCATCTTCAGTGGTGGAGATTTTCAGCGCGCTACCGAAACTAACTTTTACCACGGTCTGTACGAGTACTTCTTGCTCAACCGTATTGCCATCAACAGATGCATGCAAGTCACTTCCTTCTGTGTGAATTGAACCACTTTTAGTAGTTTGAATAGTTCTACGGATTGCACTGCCTACGATACTATCACCAATTGTAGCTCCGAACCTCGGTAGTTCCGTATAATCCGTATAATCTAAATGTATGTTTTCTATAACCGGCAATACTTTATAAATGAATGTAGAAATGCCATCTATAGCATTTATGCTGATAACAATATCGTTTATCGGTACTTCATACAATTCGATAAGGACTTCAGCATATTTTTTGTGTATCATTTGAAAACTGGCGTGACGTGTAGTCACATAGGCGGGATCATCGGACTTACCCGCCTCTTCAGCTTCACCGGAAACGAAATAATGCGACATGTTAGAATAAGTTTTAGAGCGCGTAGATGTGGAATCCAATTGGGATTCTTCGATTTCGCCAGACTTTTTAACTGTTTTATGAGAAGTAGTAGCTCTGGTATATGGACTATTTTGTTTCTGTTGATCTATGGGTGTAGAGCTCTTTGAATCTTGGACATCTTTCAAAATTTGACTCATCTGTAGATAAAAGAATCTTATTAACATTTTTACTGCTAAAATGAGAAAAGCAAAACTTGCCAACAAAAGATCAGAAATTTCAGCGGTATATTCCTCTTCAATGTGAGAAGAGCTCACTGTGATTCCGGTGTCTGTAAAAATTATCAAATCAAAGGGTATAAAAATTTGCAAAGTATTTTACTTTATTTACCAGTATCAAAAGTGAATAGTTCGACTTTTTCCTCCATTCTTGTTACAAAGAGAGTGCCATCATCGTGATAACATTTCAGGGTGTCCGCTGTCCAAATCATACGTACACCATCACCACGTTGCGCATAGCTTTCGTTCGCAAAATAATCATGCCATTCCAGTGTGGGCGCAGTGTGACCTCTGTAGGCCTAAAGTAAATTACAATCACTTGCTTGGGTTCAACAAGGAAAATTTTTAATTGTATATGCACAGGTATTGAGCTAAAGGTAAGTCAACAAATTCAGGTAAGTGCAGCATTTCGAATTATTTCCATTTCATTGCAGGAATAAAATCAGAAGTGTGATATTTTTAATGGAGGCCGACGTGAAGAGCCTCAAAATGCTCAGTGAGTGGATGTATCAGAGGCTTTTCAAAGTTTTGCGGATCCTCATTTCATTTTATTTCAGAAACAATAGTCAGAAGTGTAATATTTCCGCGAAAGCCTTCGTGGAGAGGCTTATAATGTAAAAAGACAGACTAAATTTTGGATATTTGTGAAAGTTATCAAGCGAGTAGGCGCCAAGAAGAAAAAGTTCTTCATAACATGTCTAGTCCATGACGGTTATGCTGACACTTGAACTAAAATTATTAATCTAATCCAATATGCAATTGTGCATATTTTGGAAATGACATTGAAAGGTCTATACATAAACTTTCTTACCTTGCCGCGATGTGTTAGATTCACAATTAGTCCCATTGATGTAGTTACAATAAGATGCAAGTACTTCAGGCCATATTTATTTGTTAATTCATTAAGAAATCTCAATTCATTATCGATTGATTCTATGAGCAACTGTTTGGGAGTTTTTGGTTTAACACGCTTTTCCAGTACTATAGAGCGTTGAGACGACTTAGAACGTGCTGTGCTTTTGCGAGTATTCTTTTCTCTACTTTCGCTTTTCTCCTTACTGTCTTCTTTCAGTCTATCTTTGGTCTTATCCTGTTCTGCTATCGAAACCTTCTTTGAATCACGTTGAGTACGACGTGTCGCTGTACTATCTCTTTGCTCAATTTTGATTGATGAATCTAAATCTTCAGTAGTTTCGTTGAAAGCTTCTTCTTCACCTTCGACAAATTCATATTGGTATAAACGATAAATTTCGCCATTATAGCGCAATACAGTAATAAGATCCTCGCCTTGGTAGTACACAATCACCGCACCTTCCGGCACAAATACGCGCCGCTTTTCGCTATTTACGGTATCCACAGTGTACCATTCTTGTTGGACTTGTGTCTCATTGTGGTAGATTGCCAAGCCATTGGGATAGTTGATCACTACCTTAGCGCACTCCTCCACGGTATTAAGTATCCGTACGGAAACATTATTCTTATTTGTGAAACGTAGATTTGGCGAGATTGAGGTGTTCCAAAAACGCGGGCGTAATATGTTGAATAAAATATCATTAACTTTGAATAATAAGTTTTTGTTCATATCTGTGAAACACCAACGTTCCTCATACAATTCCAGACCACCCTCCTCGAAAAAGTATTTGGAACTCTTTATTTGTATCTCTTGGCGTATATTTTCAAGATTGTAGCCTTGTAGCAGGTGATGATTTACCGGCAGTCCAGGTTTGCTTTCAAAATTTGATGGGTTTGGATGCAATGGCAACTCAGTTGATTTTAATTGAGGTAGCAAAGTCGGATTGGAACCTTGCGTCATGCTCGTTTCCATGTAGGCTAGAATCTTTTTCCATTTCAACGAAGTGGGACGTATAAATATCGATAGATCTAAGCCTTGACTATCTTTATCTTTCTTACTTTGTTTTAGGAAACTCATCGTGGTGAAATTTCGTTCATATTGCCTTATCATTTCGGGCGTTATCAAGGCTTCGAGAAACTCTTCCATTTGATAGAGTGTGAAATCGCGAAAACATAACGGTGATGGCAATACCACAACCTGTTGCTCTTCATGCACCTCATTGTAGGCGCGCTTGAAGTGATACAACTTGGAGCCAGGCGTAATTTCATCCACTTCACAAACACTATATTCCGCTAAGCAAAGCTGTAAGTGTTGCTTCACCGTATTTTCACCAAAGTACAGCTTCGCATAGAATGGCAATTGAAAGAAATCTCTTTCGGATAAGTCATCAAATAGTTGAATCTTGAAAGAGCGCTTCATACACGCATTGTCCACATATGCTCTAATCGAATTATACTCCAAACTCGTGTAGTGTATGGTCTCAAAGGAACTGACATCTGTATAGAGCAGCAACTCGTGCAGTAGCAGATTATTCGCCGCGACGCAAATACGTTCAAAATGTTTTACCTTCAATATGCTATCGAAGGCCGTTGCGTAAACATCACGTAGGTCCTGATTCAAATCGATAGCACTCGCCTGTTTGTAGGGCAATGTGCTAAGCTGCGCCTGCTGCGGTGTCAATTTGCGCAAACGTTGTGCAATTTGATTGAGCAAACCCTCAAAGTAAATCGCGACCGTAGCAAGATCGCTAGCTATAGCAGGCAGAGGTACACGCAGGTAGGAGCCTTGTAAAGCCAAAGATTCTGCGACTTCACGCAGTCCCTCAACTTGCACAGTTAACGGCATTTCGACATCGATTATGTGAAATGGTTCGAGATAATATTTCTCATATTGATCCAAGAGCAATTCAATATCGTAGAGATAATGAGAGAGTTGATCGTAAATTTGATGCGTATACTTTTCGGCGAGACAACGTGAAATCACAGGCAAATAATGTTGCATATAACCGGCAGGTTTCGTTAGTGCCAAAGCGCGCATTTCAAAGATGTCCACTTGTATTTCCTCGATGGTGCTCGCTATCAATTGCTTGGTCTCTGGATGTGGTATCAAGAGATCGTAAGCGGACTCCTCGGGCAGAAAGTGTACAATGGCTTGCAGTGGTTGATTAGCGCTGTGCGGCAGGCATGGAAATGTAAAGAATATGGTGGGAAATTACACAAATTTAGGTCGACAAAACCCGAAAACAATTTAAAATCTTGGAATGCGCACTACACAAAGGTTTTAGCCTTTAAAGGTTTCTTCAGCACGATCTAAAGCTAACTTGGGATACCGAGTTTTGGTAGTCTCTACTGATCGAAGTTAGTACTTTAACAATGGGATTCCGCCATGTCTACAAGCAATCTATATAAAAATATTAGAAAAGCGTCTGTTATCAGAGGGTAAGGCTTCGAATGCGATTTGTGCTCCTTTATTGGTTACGGCGAATATCAAAGCCGATGGATGGATTTGCCGAACGACATTGACTTGATTCAGCGAATTGAGAGATAGGTCATGTCGTCCGCAAGAGCAGGATGAGCGAAAACATTGCAGCCGTTAAAAAGATCAGATGGGAAAGATCTGAATTCACTGGCTATTAACACCGATTTGCGTAGATTACCGACCCCCCTGCGGGTTAGACGTTCAAAAATTTACCCGCGGTCCAATAGATCCCGCGACAGTCAGGTCTTTATACCGGAAAGACCCGGATTTTTATCCTGCCAAGGACTTTCACTCCTGCAACATTCCCCAAAAAGTAGCATTGAGGAATAGTTTTGCGCTTACAACAACAACAACCGATCTGCGTAGAGAAGAAACGACTACGGAAATATTTTTGATTGGTTACAGAATCGAGTAAGACCCAAACCTTTCATATTTTTGCTCTAAGTGGCCTTCGAACTGCCGATGGATTTTAAGGGGAGCTTTCGACTTCCATGTCAGAAAAATACTCGGTGGGCTTGACATTCCTTGGCGAGGTGCGACCGCCAGAAGGAAATAAATTATTCTATAATTTGAGATGTTTAGTTAAACCGGGATGAGAACCCTGGCCTCATAATGACAGCACGCACAGCTAATCCCTCGGGTACTCGTACTCTTTACCCTACGGATTTAATGGAATCTTGGTTCAGTATGTCCTTTGATAGGAGCATCTTGCAGTCATCGCTCCACGGCCACCGTTTTCTGCGTACACTAAGTTCTCTGGGCAGTTGCTTAATATAATCTTTTGGTTAAGCGTAATTATTTTGGGAATGGGAGTGTAAGCTAGACTCAAAGGAACCACCGTTGTACGAAGGCGATCTAGTAAGTTCGGTGAATTTCTGGCCGAATACGGGTTCTGCTGATATGCAATATCATATGAGGCTCGAATTGGAAGACATATTAAACTGGATCTTTCTGTCGGTCAGTGGTTCAAATAAATCCTTGGTTTCAGTGATAAGTGCTCAATTTGCCAACTCATAGTTCGCTCTTCTATTTTATTGTAGCATAACGAGCTTTTGAAGATGTTTGAAGATCGAGCCAAGTTCTTAGAGAGAAAATACCTTCCTTTAAAGTAGTAAGAATGTTAACTAATTTCTCCCAGGAGCTATTAGACCTTCACATTTGCATAACTGTCCTGCCAAATTAGAAGCTTTGAGCATGCAAATTTTCATCCATAAAGACGCTTTAAGCATGTGAGCTAAGAAATTTTCAGTTATGCAAATGCGACACTTACAACTTTGCACTAAATTACTGACACTTGCACAAGCGTATGTGTGCAGATATGTATGTATGTATGAGTATATGCAAATCGCATTAAGCTGTCTTAAGTTCACATTCAAGTAAGTAAGTAAATGCGTTGCTAGAGATTTTACATGCAACATCCTTACGTTACATATTTGCGTGTGTTAATGTGGGTTGTGGTATGTATGTATGTGTGTGCATGGCTATTGGCGAATGCCATAAATTTCGTTGTGTTTCTATTGCAATTTTATGTTGCACTTAAGCATGATGCATGTGTTGCAAGCACTTTTTGATAAACTCCGAACATAACTATCCAAAAAATACACACACACATCCATATTTATATATACAGAGATGTATTTTAGTTGGTATTTTTTCTTATATTTGAAGGCAAGTTTCTTGAATGTAAGTTTTGGACAAGTCAGAGACTTTCTTAAGTGTTGTAGGAGCTACTTTAAACTTTCGAAATGGATATTTGAGTGCTTAGGGAAATCAGTGGCGTCGTTGGAAATAACTTAATTGGACTTTAAGTTTACCTAAAAGCGTCAGCAGAAGTTTGAATGGGAGCCAGTTGTCTCAACTACTTCTCACCTATGACGAAGTGACTGAATAGGCTTAACCTAACTATCGGAGCTGCTTGGGACAAGCTGATTGCAGCGTATGATTAAGCAGCATACGCCGCTCTCATAACAAAATTGATTGTGCGCGATGAGAAATCGCATCCTTATAGAGCTAGCCAAATAAACTCTACGGATTTAATCCCCGAGTCGAACATACACTTCCCCCCTAATCCAGAATGTATAGGTATTCATGCCCTTTGCATGATTTATAGTCAGCGGCGTCCGACTGCATTTCAAAAGTGACGCCGAGATACCGGTCCATCGCCGTATCAGAAAGAAACTACTCAGCCCACTTTTTCCAAACTCTCTTCGGTCTTCGCGACCCATAATGACTACTGGTAAGCCCGAATAGAAAAAGCAACACTATCGGCTGGAAGAAAACTTATGCCCGTGAAGAGAAAGACAAAAAGGCCAGCTTAGTCAGGGGTGGTCCATCTCAGTAGGCCTGCGGGCATAAAACCGCAATGAATGCAGGTTAAAAGGCAGTTACTGATTAATCGCAACGCAGGTTCTCGAAAGATTTCTCTCTGAAAAAGACCAAAATCCTTTTTTCAGTAGAAAAAAATTGTGCTATCACCTGGGATCTCATACCTAAGATTTCCTATTCAGAATATTTTTTGCCGGTGTATCTAGTTTTCTTTAAACTTTTCGAATTTTCGGAAAGAGATTACTTAAAACTTATCTGCTGGCACATTACTATTAGAATTTGCTGGTGGTGAAGACGACACATGAGTCTTACGGCCACCACTTGGACTCGTCGGAACTAAATTATTTTCTATCCCTGGCCCAGGTACTAAAGATCAGTAGCAGCCAGAGAATACTGGAACCCACTCAACAAGCTCTTTACAAACTTTCATTGGCTAAAATCTCGGCTTATGTCTGTGCAAATGTGATGAAGAGTACTAGATTTCCAAATATTTAAAGATGCCTTTTTTTAGACGTGTGGCTTTCAATAAAGCAATACTTTGATCGGAGTTGGCCTTTTTGACAGCTGTTACTTGATTGGTTCGGGAAATAAATAAGGGTTCGCTGCATCCAATATTTGCTCATCTTCAGAGGCGCAGCACAATGTGCACCGCAGACTCTACTGACGCTGAGGAACAAAGTAACGTAGAAGACCCATCCACCATCGTGGTGCCCAGCCATTTTATGGTAGATTTTGCGGAAGGGGAACCGCTGTCGAGTCAAGATTAATGACTTTTTCGCCTGAACTGGAGTATGTTAATGGACGGACTTTGGACTATTCCACAGAGCAAACGCAAAAATTTACTGAAGGAAACTTTTGGTGAGCGCATTAAATCGCGTCGTGGGTCTCAAAGGTCGTCGCTTTAAGCTTTTTTATGTATATGTGAAGTCGCTTATCTATGTAGATAAGCCCGAGACGATTAATGCCTCGGTAGAGAATGTTGGGCGCGGCCCCAATCGATGCAAAAAAGCCTCTCGCCTAGAATTTATACGAGCCAGCCGCGGCGGTTGCTCAAAATCAATTTTCAGACATAAAAATAATGCTAAATTCTTGGTCAGAGCATCAACTTATATGCGCTTTATTTCTTTTCAAAAACCGATTGTCCGAAAAGAACACCCTTTATGTGTAGACACGCCCCCATATTTATTTCTTTAGCTAACTTTGCTAACCAACCTTCTTTGAAATTAATTTCTCACCCTCTTCGATGCGCCACAGTCTATTTTGGATTTAAAAAACAGTTAAGAAATAGTAAAAATCGATTAATCGATGGGTGTGGGATATCGGTGGAGCCTATTGATGGCATGTAAAGTGCAATTTATTGTTTGTCAAGTTTCAGTTTCACGAAGTGTAACATTTGCATAACACTGCAGCTGACATAAGAGTAAATAGAGAAACAAAAGAAATAAAAAGAAATATTCAAAACTGACAAATTCTTAAGCAAATATGTAAGCTCGATTTCCTTGCAAAATAATAAATAAATAAATAAAATATTTTGCATACCTCAGCAGCTTGACATAAAATTCATTGTCCATATCGCCAATGAGTATTATGAAAATCTTCGAAAATTCCGGTTCGTCTTCTATGTACTAGAAATAAATAAATTATTATTGCTTTTCGTCCCCTTCACCCACCCCACGCTGTCTTACACGCTTCTTGGAGAGCGGCGCTGGTCTTCCAACTCTGTTGTGCGCCTTCGGCATTAGTTGTGGGCACGAAGCAAATGTCATAACGGATTTCTTTTTCGCCATAGCGAATTTTGAACCTTTCCTTGTCATACGCGTTGGCGATTTCGTGGGCGTTTTCGGTTGCAACTTCTTTGATGACTTACGTTGTGGGTGATGTGCGGCTTGTTGTTGCTTAAATAAACCTGTCGGCACATTTAGATTCTCCAGCCAAAAATCTATTAAACTAAATTTTTTCTCGTCCGCAATAATTCGAGAGGTGCGCTTATATTCGGCCAGGCAGCGTTCGATGGCGGACATTGTGACGGAGTAGTTATCGAAACGTTTTGTATTGCGCACTGAGTGGGGGAAAGGGAGGAATTATAGACATAGCTTTCTTTAACTGCTGTTGTGGCTCACCTTTAAGAGCCAGCTGTTTGGCTTCCTCCTCTATGTCGATAATGAAGACACGTCGACGTATGCCAGTTTCCACGCGCTTCTTAAATTCATATAAAATCGAGTTCAGCGAGTTTGTATGGAAATTGACGGCGTACAGCTTGTATTCCTGATAGCGATTTGTCTGAAAAAAGATAATGGAAAAATTTATTGGAAATAGACCGCTTAAATGGTGTCTCATTGACACCAGCTACATACTTACCGATAGCGTGCTGGTTGCTCTGTGCGACATTTTGTGCTAAAATATATATTATATTAATAATAAATTTTTTTATTAAAAATATATTTTCGACAATTTTTCTGTTTTTTTTTAATATATTTTGATTTCGTTTTAATAAAAATTGTCAAAATTTGTGAAGTTCACATTTAAAAGGAAAGCATTAAAATATGTTTATTAGGGTGGTTACATTATTTTTTTATATTTAAAATTTAATAAAAAATCCATGCTTTTTGAATATTTATCTTTCTTCACTGGTCTCCGAACTCGTACCGAATTAAAAATAGTACACAGTTCTTTTCCTCTTTTTGCTATTTGAAGCCAATTGAGATTGCCAAATGTGCAGTTGCTCCTTCACCCGATATTACCAACGGACTGGATAGCTTCTCTTCCTCTGACCATATGATCTTCCCAGCGTAGCCAGTTTCTCGTCAATATCGTCGTATATATCATACTGCTCATCATTCCGTCGACTACGCTGCTCGCCGCAAAGGACCATAAATCTTACCAAATCTTTCTCTCTAAAATTCCTAATGTCGACTCATCAGATGTTGTCATCATTAATACCTCCACAAGATATAGCAGGGCGGGAATGATGAACGACTTGTGGAGTTTGGATTTTGTTCAGTCCAAAGTTGACAAGAGTTATTCCGCGTTGGATTTCCAGGTAGATATTGTTATTGATGTTAATGCTGATTCTAAAATAAACGAAGTTATCTATGACTTCAAAGTTATGACTGTCAACAGCGAGGTGGGAGCCGAGTCGACGACTGTTTGTTTGTTGACAAAAAATATTTTGTCTCGCCCTCATTTACTACCAGACCCATGCGCTTCGAAAGCCGGGTCTTTGACACTACCCTCTCGATAGGACCTTATATATGATATTGAGGAGACTTAACTCATAGTATTTGGGGTAGATTGCGTGATCACTCTTTTCAAGGATTGCGCAGCGCAAGAGTATGCTCCAATTATCGGGCGAGCTCTTCATACTCACGCAATCCTCATCATAATAGCTGTACTTACGACCTCTCCGAAATCCAATAGTTTCGTTTGCAGCTGTATATAGCTAGCTTGATATGCCATCCCATTGGTTCATCATAATAAGTTGCTCATAAGTGCTCTCAGAAGCAAAGGGTGTAAGTCGAGTGCACACTCGTTAGTCTGTCTGTTGTAGCTTTTTGACTTCGAACATTCCTTGTTTTCGTTGACCGGTGTTCTCTACCGCATAGAGTCGAGCCCTGATTTTTGTTGCTGCAATATAGTGGTCCTAGTCGATATTGGTCATCGATTTCTAGACAGCGAAGGAATGAGTGCTTGTGAAAGTGACTCAACTATGGGCAACGACCAGGAGCATCTGCTATGTCTAAGTTTTAATTACTCAGCTATTGCTCGTTGGAAGCTGCGGGAGCTGATGTTCTATTGACTGAGCTGTTCTAATATGTACCTACTGATGTGTGGAGAATTAGTTTGGAAAGGATCTGGCTTCACTTGAAGTATCCAAAGGAATCCGAACAACTAGATTACCTACGCCAATGAAGAAGAAGCAGAATTTATCCTTCTGTGTTTCAACTCTTCTCTGAAGAAAGGCATACAGATCGGATAATCAACAGAGAATAGCAAAAATGAAAAAAATTAAACAAATCATTGTAAAATCAGTGGGCTGATGGCAAGAGAAACAGATAAAAAATATTTCACAAACAAAAAGGATTGAAGAGTCCAGCTAAATCAAAGCGAATGAAGACAAAGAACAGTAGAATTGAAGGGAAAATCGAAGACTGCTGAGCAAATAGGCGAGAGTAAACAAATCAAAGATATGCAAAAATGCTTTGCGGGCATTAATTGCATTTTACTGCAATACACAACGCTCAGATTGCACTTTCAATTAGACTTAGCAAACGGAAGTTGAGTGTAATGAAACCACCAACCGACCTCCCACCCCCCAACAGTCGCCTAACAAACACCAACTCTTCGAGAGCTTTATTTAACACAACACGACTTCAATACGGCTTCATATTCATACTATTTGTCTTGTCTACAGCCGTAGCTGGCAACGTAGCTACAGGCACTGCGCTGACGTGCGAGCAAAGCGATGCTGATGACTTGCCACCTGCCGTCTGCTGTTGAGTCATTTTCTGATAGATGAAAGCGCGCCAAAGTAGCAGAGCGGAAGTCTGCCAGTAGCTGTATTGAACGGAAATGAGTAGCAGTAACATTTTAATTGAAAGGTGATGCCATATCAAATATTACAAAACAACAAACAAACTCATATTGCAGTGGCAGTGTGGGTCAGCGGTAGTGGGAGTGAAGCAAAGAAAATGCTGCAGGGCTACAAAATTGGTAAGTGTGTGTGTGTGGGGGTGTGTGGGTGTGTGCATTGTGTGTTTGCAATTTAAATGCACTTTGAAACCTTAGAAGTTTCGCTTGCAGTGTTACTTAGAGTTTACTTTTTTTTTTTAAGGATTTTCTTCTACTGCAGCATGAGTAGCAACTGCTGTGATGGCGTTAAAACAAAACTCTGCTCCTATTTGAGGTAGAGAAATTTGAAGTATTAGTTTGGGTAAGTTTAAGCAAACGTTGACTTAATGCATTTCAAAATTGATTTATGACTTTTCTGACTATTTTCTTAGCTTTTGTTAATGTGCGAGGTGTGCCAAAGGTGTAAGGTGTTAATGGAAGAAGCAATGGTGGCAAGGTAAGTCAATTTTAATTATGGTCTTAACGTGAGCAAAATATGAGTGTGTGTATATATTTGACGTGGATTAAATGTTAAATTCCAAAAAGCTGCTGCAATGGCTTTTTTGAGATTTCATATAAATGATGTGGGAATGGTGGGTAAGTTATTCAAAACACGGTGTCAAATTAAAATAACTCGAAAAGAATTGAAAATAAAAATATATTTTTCCATAAATCAGAAGTGGCATAGAACAAATTATTTATATACTAGAACTATTTATATACTAGAACTCCAGATACCCCGGTATGGAGCAGTGCGAGCAGCTGGAAACACGTTCAATAATCGTTCGTTTCGTTGCTCAACTGCTTAAATGCTTGTGTTACATTTCCAATTTTCAGCTTAGCTTTTCAAAATTTATTTACTATTTAAATGAGTTTTTCACTTTGCTTAAGTCAATTTAAATTATAAACAGCAGTTCTGAGAAAACAATCCTGCTCAAGAGGCTCGAATTGCTCGAGCTCGTGCTCGAAAATTATTGAATTATCGAACAATGTAAACTGAACGAGTGTGCGAGTACTCGTTGCTCAAATGCTCGCAAATGTTCGAACCAAATCTTCAGCTATATTATAAAATAGCAAAGCAATCCATAACTAAATATAAGCTGCACCATTCCGAAGATTGATACTAAGTTTTGTTGATAGTAATTGCCAATGCTAGTCCAATCTGGAACTGTAGTCGCTTGAATTGAGAGAGAGTGTCCGACGGTATGATAGGTATTCGAAGAATGAGCATATCTTCAACTTTGAAATGTTCGATCGGAGTACTAGCTCCTATTACGTTTCTTGGCAATTTTTCAACTGCAAGCCGAGTGCCGTTGCAGAGTCTTGGCTGTTTAATATTACGCGCGATTATACACATCGGTTTAAAAATTTAACATGTACGTTGGGTGGGAATACCGCTAAATCCAAAAAAATTCAAAAACTTTGTTGGATAATAGACAACCTCATCTGCTTCGATAAAGCATATCGAGTTTTTAATGTTGAACTAAATTGTTTGGTTGAAACCGTAGACATCTTAGCTTGATGCAGTGAAAATAGATTGCTCACACCGCCATTTGTGATCTCTATAAATGATTTTGATATTTGGAAATAATTATTTGAAGTCCCCCATTTCCACAGCAACTGGCCTGAGCATACTTTGGTTGATGTATGTATCTCTTTGCAGGGCGATATGCATCCTTCTGGTTGATTGCAGAGTTTATACATCTCGATACAAACTGGAGTATTTTAGGCAAGCATTGATCTTATCCGCAGGAGTTGTTCGATGAATGGTAGGCAGTGTTTTTGTATAAAAATTTCAATTGCTCGGGATATGCAGATCTTTACAACCAACGAAAGATTTTTATATCTTATATGTAGATTGATCTGTCTACTGGATGATGCTCAAAGAATTTAACGAAAATGTCAATATGAATGCCTCGAAGTAAGCCAACCATAACACTATGATCTAAGCTTATTCACAATAAAGTTAAACGTATAGAACAAGCTTGTAACCCGCAGCATACCTTCTGCACGAGCTCTGCTTATTATATATAAATCATACTAATTTTTGTTTATTTAACGGTGATCTCTTTGCCGTAAGGGAAGTATTATTTATATTTTAAGCAAATTGAACTCGTTTCCAGCTTCCAGGAAACAAAGGCATTCCATTTAAATAAAAATTTAACTCAAACCAACAGCGAATATGTGTAATCAAAACAAACCACTTCCAGGGAAACAAATTTATGCAAAAAAGCCTATTAAAAAAATAGTTTTTTTCCGAATAGTTCAGTCTCCACTTTGCGAAGAGAGAGGAGTTTTCCTTTTAGTCGAAGCAAGAAGCCACGTATTTACCCAATTTCAAGTTAAACCAGCCATAAACATAGTTTTTTGGAATAGGCAATTGGTTTACTACCTGGAGAGCAGATCATTTCTCGGAGAGAAGAGTAGTCTTTCTGTTAATCTAAGGAAAAAGCCATCTATATGCTGAATCTCACGTAAATCGAACGATAAGTAGATACGCATTTTTTTTTAAATATTGAGGTCAGTCTCTAGTGCTCTTCTCGATTTTCTTGTAAGCCTTCGTAATACCTATATAAACAATCTGACAAAATTTCGTTAACTTTTGTAGAATTACAATCAGATGAATGATTTACGGTTCAACTCACTGCCTAAACTACTGATGGTAGAGACCTGACGCTTGAAGGCTGTGTTTTGTGTATGACGTATCAGGAAAAAATTTCTGGGAAATGAACCTGAGACCGATATATCTTAATCTAATTCATTTATAAATCGTTTGATTTACACAAAATTTGGTACACAGATAACTCTTTGTCTACAATGACATAAGGAACACTTTT